TTTCTTTTCGCGGTAGACCAGTTGCCATCCAAGGCTATAGAACCTGGTCTGTTCTGCTATTTACCCACAGCTGGGAGGGGGGGAGAAGAGGATTCATACTTTTCTCAAGGGTATTAGCACGTTAGAGAATGTAATGGATTCGACTGGAATTCGAACTCGGCTCTCCAATTCCTCAATCCGAGCCGCTATCCATTACTCCAGTTGTTTATATATTTGTACTTATAAGCGTTTACTTGGTTCAGAAATAAGCAAGATGTTGGTCATTCATATTTGAGTCTAGAAGTATTTACTTTGTCCAGGAATAGATAAATATTGGTCATTTATACTTAAATCTATAAGCATTTACTTTGTTCTGACATATGTAAATATAAGTTGTTTTAGAGTCTATATATAAGCATTAACTTAGTGTCATGAATGGTCTCCCCTTGTTTTGTTACTCTCCTCTTTGAGAGAACTATTTCTGTTTACTAGGACTATAAAAGGACACTATATTCACTTGCATTCTCAATTGAATAAAGCTTTCTTAAAGCCTACATCTGCGTACTTTTATCATTACGCTTAGTCCCCCGGATAGGTAAATATTAGTTGTTTATATATTTGAACTTATAAACATTTTCTTGGTTCAGAAATAGGCAAAATGTTAGTCGTTCATATTTGAGTCAGCTCTTGGCAAATAATTAACCCACAAACTGGGGTTAAATAGTATAAAAATAATTTTTTATAGCAAAAATACCAGCAATACATTTTTTTAAAGTTTGACTCTCGACAAAAACCTTCTTTAAAAGAATACATTAATGAAAAATGATCTGCAAACTGATTTCTTACAAAAAATACATATTCTATTCATACGAACCTATTCCGAAAATCTTGACAGCATTAAATAACCCATTGAGGTTGATATACCGTAAAACAATAAACCAAACCAAGCCCTTTTTCCTCATTATTGTAAAATAACCAAAACGGCAAAGGTAGTAGTAATTCTCAGTTACTTTATTCTTGCACCAACGAGATACAAATACAGAAATACACCTGGCTCCCGGCCAGTCAGCTGTTATATAACACTGGACGAGGTAACTTATGTCTGCTTGTGAAAGTCCCTCATTATCTAATGAGACTTTCCATTTCTACTCTACAATTATGTGCCCGAGAAACATCAACTGTCTCTTCCTGATGTTAAATATAAGTTTCCTTTTTGTTTCCATTTTCTCAAAAACTTCGTCGTTATTCACATGATTGTTCCATGGAATTCTCAACATCATTCTGTAAAATCACATTTCTGTTGTTTCAAGTGTCTTTTCCATCTTTGACTATTTCAATACACCTTCAGATTTCAGTGTAACACTTTTTGTCCTTTGTTAAAACACTTCCTAGATATTGAAATTTTTGCACTTTGATTTTGGTATTCCTAATTTATAATTGCATGTTGGGCTGTCCCTTTTGCTAACAGCCATGCATTCTATCTTCTTGCGATTGGTGTTTAGTCCTTTCTTCTCGCTTTCCTTCATTTCTTTCGGTAGGAGTTTTTGTAATGTAACTAAAGCTATTCATAGAAACGGAAGGAAATGAAACACTGAAACAATAAATAATATATTTTTTTCTTTTTGTTATCGCTTCACCATCCATTTACTTAAGGTCATGCGTTGTTTGCCTCTGTCCCTCTTGCCTTCAATATGTCCTGTGAGTATCAAATTTTAAAAGCCCTCTTTCCTCATTAATTGCTATAGAAATTTCAACTGTCTCTTCTTGATGTTAAGCATGAGTATCCTTTTTGTTTTCATTTTCTCTAAATCTCCGTCGTTACTCACATGTTCGATCTATGGTATCCCCAGCATCCTTCTGTAGAACCACATTTCTGTTGCTTAAGTTTTTTCTTCATTTTTGAGGAGATTGTCTAGTATTCAATGTCATACAAAAATGCTTATAAAGAGAGTTCCAATGTCTTGGGCCAATTTTAAATGTGAATTAAGTTTAAGTGTCTAATGATTTTTTCTTTTTCTTTCAGATTTGGCGGACATTTTGGCGATATTATTTTTCACACATAATTGCCATGACTTAAATAACATGATCCAATAGAGAAATAAATAAATTTTTACTAATAATACTGATTTATTTACTGCTGACTTTGATCCGTCTTAATGAAAGAGCTTTATATATAATCCGTCTTAATGAAACACCCTTTATTACATAACAGTTTAGTATTCTTTTCTTTGTTTTTATGGGATTTTTCTGTATTTTAAAAAAGTTTATTTAAAACTATAGCAGTATCATAGGACATAGAAATACTATTGGGTTGGTGCATAATTATCACGTGTTTTAAACAATATTTATTCTGAAAAAAGATACATAACTTGGACGGATTTTAAATGTGAATTAAGTTTAAGGGTCTAATGATTTTTCATTGTCTGAACGCCCTGCTCCGGATTGGTTTAAACGTGTTATGAGTGGTGACTTACTTTTTGAAATAAGGACCATAAATTGACCAACATACGTAGGCGATTATGATATGTTAAAATGCAAGGAAAACTCAACCACCAACGCGCGAACATGTTCAGAAGGAAAACTATCAAAAGATACCATATGTTGAGAATTAATTTTTCTTTCGCCCTTAACCCCACAAGGAGTTGTTGGCACCCCGACGTGCTGAAATGTCCGCCATTCTCCCCCACCTGTCGCGGTCGTGCACCTGAGCCTGGATCTCAGCGAATGATTTCTTGGTGTGCTCATCATGTGGCGTGTCTTTGGCCTTTTAACCTGGCGTAGCCCATCACTCTACATGTTAGACCACAGCCGATGTCCTCCAATTTGGTCGCTCGCCTTAGTCGCGAACACGTGGCCGTTGTAGTTCATCTGAGGGACCGTTCAAACCTGGCCGGTGACATGCGTCGAGGAGGTCCTTCGCCCAGTGGTACCGTGTTAACACCACCACCCTCACGTGTTTTCCCCGCCAGCTGAAACAGTTTTCCGGGGCATTGCAAATTGGAGCCATCACGTGATAAATTTAGGAGATGGTTGAGGATTATTTGAGAATTACATCAGCTTCAAAAACTTAAAAAATACACATTAAAATACTTTTGATACAACCAAATATTTAAGGAATATTTCATAGATCTGATCCTTTTTCAGATCCCCAAAGCAACTTGCAGATCAAAACTAGGTAAGTTTCAGGATATCACTAACAAAATCCTTGCTAAAAATAATCTCTGTAATTGTTACCTCATAGTGATTTAAGTATCTAAACGTCCGCCCCCAGTCATTGGCCCCAGTTGCATGACTTCTAGGTCTATTATAGTTATCGCATTGATAACAATAGATTAATGAACGAAGTTCTATAAAGTCTAATTGGGAGCTGATCTCGAAAATTGTTTTCAGTCTGTTGTTAAATGGGGAAAAAAATGGCTTGTTAATTTTAGCACATCCTAAATCGCTCTCTTTTAATTGTCTTAAAAAATCTTTTTTTGCCTTCCATTAACATGGCTGATGCTAACCTCCAGGAAAGCAACTCATTAGACCTTTTCGAACTCACAATTAGTTATGTGAATTGAAACGATTATATCGAATCAATTGCTAGGTATGCTGCTAAGAAAGTTCATTCACTCTCTCTTGCTAGAAAATCACTCTCACCAGACTCTGCCTTGCACCTTTATAAGTCTACCATTCATCCGTTCATTGAGTATTGTTGCCCTATCTGGTGTGGCGCTTCTTCTGTGTATCTAGAGATACTTGACAAAATCCATGTGCAATGTTATCAGCCTTGACCTGGCATCTGGGCTTCAATCACTTTCCCACCGCCATAACGTAATTTTCTTATGTCTTTTAATAAATATGTTTATGGTAATTCTTTTGATGAGATTTCCTGTTTTATATTTCGACTTCATGAAATTAAGCTTAGTACTAGATTGGCAGTTAGGTCTCATTATTTCACTGTTGAAATTCCGAACTGTAACCATAAGTTATTTTCTAATAGTTTATTCTCTCGCGCCTCTCGCCCTTGAAACTCCGTTTCGGCTTCTTTCGTTCCTGTCAACTACGATCTTCAAAAGTTTAAATGCAATGTCAATCGCCGTCATCTGCCTCCTTAGATCCCGTTCCTTTATTGTTTTTTCTTCTCAATAACGTTTTATCAGTTACCTTCACTTCCAGTAACCACTTTTGTTTTAGTGGCTTTATCGCCTTGTTTGGGGTGAAATAATTTTTTTTTTTAATTATGTAAAATATTTTCAAGCCTCGTTTTCAAAAAACGAAAAATAAACAAATAAAATATCCTCCCACCCCAAAAAGAAACAAAAAATATGACCAAAACTTGGAACGGGTCATTGTTTTAACAATGGCGGCTGCAGAAAGCAAATTGAATTATAGCTGATTTTTTAACAGACAGACTCACTGCTGTTTCTTAACGTAGAAGGTTGGGCAAGTCGATTAGATTGTCACACAGTCGGTAAACTGTCAACTTATCTGAGGCACACAAAAGATACATTATCAAAGTTAATCAACCTCAGAGATGAGACTGCGGTCGTCTTACGCACAGTTCACAAGCCTCTGGGTCATTAAAAATATTAGCGTCACAGGAAAGATTTATCTGTAGACCTTCACATTATGACGCTTCAATGTTTCGATAAAGAACAAAAAAGACAAACTTGAATAAAGACCTTCTTACAAAGCATAAGCATTAATAGAAATGTTTGGAATATAGACTGCTTACAAAATTACTTCGGACTTGTAATATTTGTTTTATGTTCTCGTTTTGGGTTTTAGCTGAAAAAAAAATCGAAAAAAGACACAATTTCCTGTTAGTTTCTTTAGAAGAGTTTGTAATATTATTGATCGTGACCTGGCATCTCGACTTCAGTCACTTTCCCTCTGCCATGAGGTGTTTTCCTTATGTCTAAATATTTTCATGGAAGTTGTTCTAAGCTTTCCTCCTTGATAGCTAGATGACATGAAGTCAAGCGTACGACTAGATTGGCAATTAGGTCCCATCGTTTTAGTGCTTACAGCGATATAGCATTGAAGCACCGGTTCCCGTACCATCAGCAAAGTTGAGCAACGTCGAAACTAGTCAGTACTTAGATGGGTGACCGTTTGGGAATACCAGGTGCTGTAATCTTGGACTTAATGGTGTAATGGATAATGGCTCGGAATTGTTAATCGGAGAGCAGTGTTCCAATTCCAGTTGGGTTCATTATATTCACGTACGCGCAAAATACTCGTGGGAAACGTATGTATCCACCTCTTCTTCCCCAACTATGGGTTAATTAGTTAAACTTGAATCACTAAATCATTATTATCTCCAAAAATAAATTCTTGCCATCTAAAATTATTTCCTGGCTTTAAACAACCAGCAAAGGGTTGATAAACCGTAAAAAAAGAATCAGTCATCGTTTTACTGTTGAAACAGTAAGATGCAACCATATGTTCTATTCTTATAGTTTCTCTTCTCGCACTTCTCGTCTGTGGAAATCTTTTCCGGTGTTTTGCTTCCCTGCCACCTAAAATCTTCCAAAATGTAAATGCAATGTCAATCGCCATCTTCTGTCTTTCTGAATCCCGTTCTTTTATTGACTTATCTTCTCACTAAAGTTTTTTCATTCTCTTCCATTCTCTGTTACTCTTTGCGTCTTAGCGGCATTATTGCCTTGATTGGGGTGGTGAAAAGATAAAAAAGACACAATCGAGATTACAGAGGTTATAGCTCGGCTTCAGTCATTTTCCCACCGTCATAACGTAGCGTCCCAATGTCTTTTCCATAAATATTTTCTGTTCTAATGAGCTTTCCTCTTTGGTAGCTCGGTTTCACAAATTTCAGCGCAGTACTAGATTGGCAGTTACGTCTCATTTATTTCACTGTTGAATTTGCTAATTGTAAACGTAAGTTCTATGTTAATAGTTTCTTCTCTCGCACTTATCATTTCTGAAACTCCCTTCCGTTTTCTTGCCTCCCTGCCACCTCCAATCTTCCAAAATCTAAATGCATCGTCAAACGCCACCTTCTGTCTTCCTGAATCCTGTTCTTTTATTGACCTTTCATTCTCATTAAACCTTTGCATCTAAGTCCCACTAATGCTTTGCTTGGGGTGATATAATTAAAAACAAAAGAATTTGGTAACTAATCCTTTTGTCTACTGACTCAAATCATTGTTAAGATCACTATCAGTTTTGTAACGTTTGAGAAGACGAAAACAATGAAATTATGGCAACGAATTTAATTTCTTATGTATAAACCTAGGTGGAAACACAAATCTGCTGTCATTTATGTTAAAATCCGACCCTCTATTTATTTTAAAAATGTTATTTCTTCTTAAAAGTTCAGAAAGTTGGGTACAACAAAACAAACATTACTACAAGGGGAAAATTTAAAGATAATTTATATTTACTATGGTTAGTTTTATACGTGTTATATACCGTACATATGAACACTAATGGGTATGTCCCAATCCTCATAAATACACTGGACACTTTTGTAAGTGGGAGTAATATGCTGTATAAGTAGTCCAACACTAGCAGTGGTTTACCTACATCACGCCGCTGGCGAGTATTGTATTTTGTTGATGTTATAAAGATTACCATTTCATTTCCAACCTCCGTTTTGGTTATTCCTTATTCAGTAAACCTTTTTAGGTTACAACAATACGGCACAGCACAACAAATATCGATGAATTATTGAATGTTGTGGAAGCTTTCCAAGATTATTATAAAAGACTTCTTCTTTGTACAGTGTCCTTTCAGCACATTGGCGATCGTGGATCTCCACAATTTCCTGTCCTTTGTAGCTTTTAATAATTTTTTTCTTTTTGTTATCGCTTCGCCATCCATTTACTTAAGGTCCCTACCTAGGTCATGCGTTGTTTGCCTCTGTCTCTCTTGCCTTCAATATGTCCTGTGAGTATCAAATTTTAAAAGCCCTCTTTCCTTATTAATTGCTATAGAAATTTCAACTGTCTCTTATTGATGTTAAGCATGAGTATCCTTTTTGTTTTCATTTTCTCTAAATCTCCGTCGTTACTCACATGTTCGATCTATGGTATCCCCAACATCCTTCTGTAGAACCACATTTCTGTTGCCTAAGTTTTTCCTTCATTTGAGGAGATTGTCCAGTATTCAATGTCATACAGGAATGCTTATAAAGAGACTTTCAATATCTTGGGCCGATTTTAAATGTGAATTATATTTAAGCGTCTAATGATTTTTTCTTTTTCTTTCAGATTTGGCGGACATTTAGGCGATATTATTTTTCACACATAATTTCCATGACTTAAATAACATGATCCAATAGAGAAATATATAAATTTTTACTAATAATACTGATTTATTTACTGCTGACTTTGATCCGTCTTAATGAAAGAGCTTTATATATAATCCGTCTTAATGAAACACCCTTTATTACATAAGAGTTTAGTATTCTTTTCTTTGTTTCTATGGTTTTTTTCTGTATTTTAAATACTATTGGTTTGGTGCATTCTCAGGCGTTTTTAAACAATATTTATTATGAAAAAAGATACATAACAATTCAACAATAACATTTTTAAATGATTATTTGGGAGCATATGATTATCGACACGCATTTTTAAAACCTGAAAATAAAATATTTTCATTAAAAAGGTAAATAAAACAGCAATTTTTATTAACAAATAACTCGCCTACAAAAACGCCTGATAATTATGCACCAACCCAATAGTTTATATTACTAGGATTCACTTGGATTATATACCAACGGATTTTTTACTATATATATATATATATATATATATATATATATATATATATATATATATATATATATATATATATGTAGTTTGAAGCCACCTCCAGAATTAGCATGGGATGAACATGACAGAAGAAAAAAAATGAAAAGAGCTCTTAGAGGTTGTGGAAAAAATGGAATCAATTATCAAACTTACACTTTGAGAAACTTTTGCTATGAATTCCAACAAATAAGTGCTGCAGTAATCAAGGCTAAAAGGAGGATATGTTTGACGAGATCAAAATTTAATCATAAAATACTTTTTTTTCTTTTTGTCATATAAAATTTCTAATAAAACCCATGTCTCACTTTTTTAACGATGTATTGCTTTGGTGCAAAATTATCAGGCGGTTTTAAACAATATTTATTATGAAAAAAGAAACGTAACAATTCAACAATAACATTTTTAAATGATTATTCTGGAGCGTATGATTCTCGACACTGAAAATAAAATAGTATTTTTTTTTTAAAAGTAAACAACACAGCAATTTTGTTAACAAAATTTCCTGTTTTTTTTACTTTTACTTTTTTTTTTTTTTTTTTTTTACTTTTCACTCGCCTACAAAAACACCTGATAATTATGCACCAATATTTACTGTTATTTGTGTTATTGGAGAGAACAACTGATATTTCTGTTGCTTCAAATCTCTTCGTTATCGATGAAAAGATTGTCCAGCATTGACTGCTATATAAGAGGACTGATATTACGTAACAATTCAGTACTCTTTTCTTTGTTTCTAACGAAATTTCTCTTCCTTAATAATTTGCTTATCTTTTGGAAGGCATCTTTCGCTATCCCAATGTGCCTTCGGATTTCAGCGTCGCACTTTCTGTTTTCTGTTAAAACATTTCCCAGATATTTAAGATGTGGTACTTATTTGATTTTGGTATCTCCAATTTGCAATTTCTACGTTGGACTGTTCAACGTCCTCAGCAGTATTAAAAATAAAATCGTCATGTAACTTAGGAAAGATCAACGAGGTTTCTGTCAAACATTAAAATAACACAACACACAATGGCGTAAAATATGCGTAATGCATTCTTTCTTTTTATTTGATTTCTCATCATTATGCATTTTCTCATGACACTTCTTTTTCAGCGTTTAAGCCCTGACTTTAATGACGTAATGCCCAGACACCGGTTGAACGGTGGTAGAGAAAAATGACTTAATGCCCAGTCAACGGTTGAACGGTGGGTACACACTTGTAACTATTTTTATATCTCCCGTGAAACATTACATAACAATTATTTGCGAATTTTGACTCAGGAGCTCATCCAGCAGGGTTAAAATTGTTCAGGAACGCAGGGCTCAAAGGGTTAAGACAGACGGCGTTTACCAAAATGGAAGTTTGGCCCGCAGTTCAGAGATCTAGTGAGACCAAACCTGAGTGTCTGCCTTCTTTATGTGACCCTGTGCCAGACTAAGCGAAGCGTAATAATTATTATATTTGCGCCTATTGTAGCAATTTCATCTTACAAACCAATTTGTTAGTGTTGCGCTGTGTGCCATCTCTGACTTCTCGCAGTATATCAACACTGCTTACGGAATCAATGCTACATCACAGATTAAATGAAGGGGGAGAGACGATGTTTCTTTGAGTTATTTTCCTCACTTTACTTCAGAGGGAGACACAGTTGTTATTAGCATCGTTTCTTCGCAGAATCCAGAGGAAACAAGGAGATGAAGAGTACGGATCTCAACAGTTCAGCAAGCGTCGTGGTGGCTTGTCTCAGCACGCCAAGGAACCTGCAGAGTAGAGTAACATCTTCACCCTTCTATCGCTGCCATCACATGAACTGTCTTAGTACTGCTTAAACAAAGACAATACATGGCTATCAGAATTCCACGCCCACCGGCTTCAAACCACCCAAACTCAGGTTGGGTCGTCCGAGTTCTGATCACTACGGTAGGGTTTGTCATTTGGCGCCAGGTCGTACATTCTGTAGCACTGGCATGTTGATATCAATTCTCACTGAATGCTCGATTTGCGTAGTCTTGTGCCAGACTAAGATAAAATTGATTAAAATTTCTATGGATACTTATCGTAGCGATATAGTTAGCAAAATTGGCTTTGTAAACCAATTTGCTAGTTTCAAGAATTCATTTCTCATTTATATGAAATATATGACAGCGGTGAGATACTGGAAAACCTGATGAGAAAGAGATGGAAATAAATGCGAACTTCATCAGACAATCAAATTAATGAGCCGTATAACTAAGTTTATCACGAGCATTCTCATGAATAGAGTAAATTAGAATAAGAACAGTGTGACATTTTTAAGACAAGAGAACTAGAAATGCTATGTTTATTATCAAAATGGTGCCAGAGTGACCAATACAAATGTAGAAAGATCTACACTTCT